GAAAAAATCTTAGCGGGACTTTGATATGATCGCATGGTGTAGATTTCAACAATCTTTATTGTAAACAGAAAAATAGCCTTTGTCTTCGAAACTATGGCTTGTAAAATTGACCTTCGAATGAAGAATCAATGCAGAAGGTCGCTAGGTTTTCATTTAGAGCCACTTTGTGTTTCGTGTGTATTTCATTCTTGCCTGACCGCGATCGAGTTTGATTATTGCATTATGGCGCCATATAAACAAAACTGAAAACTGTTGCCATTTAACAGTAACGCGACACGTGCAGTTGTTCGGCATTTTGCAAAATACACCTGCTGCATGTTCGTGGTAGAAAAACAAGAGCTCTTGCCTCGAGGAACTGCATTACCAAAATGTGTTATAGTGGGCTACATGTAGAAGTGTCAACTCCTCACAGATCTCATCTCAAAAACTTAACTAATAATATCTTACCCTTTGGGCAAGCTGATTTTCCCTTTGGGGGGTGGTGGGAGTAGTACTGAACAAAATATTTTATACAGGAGGGAGGGGGGGAGTTCTGTCCCATGGTCCAACCCCATTCTCTTTTACATATAATCATATACCATTTTGGACAGCAAAGGTACCCCTGCCATATACCTTATATTGATAAATGGTACCCTTTATTTGTTTTATTTATTTATTTTTCCACACAATACAAAGAAAGAAAATTTAAAAAACACACTTCAAAACAAAGTGGTGAGGAAGCCTTAAATAGAAACCACAGGGCTTATAACATAAGGCTTCCTCAATTACAACTCATGATGGCTACACATGCACAGCTACAGGTGTATAACAATTAATTCCAAAAAAGAACAGATGAAGGTACAGTAAATGAGTATCAAGAACAATCAGTCTGTAAATTAATAAATACTAAAATTATGGCAAACATGCTATATTACAAACGAAAAATAATTGTTATTGAAGGACAGGTAAACTTCTATGATAATGAAACTATTCAAATCTACTAGACTTATAGCTGTTCATACAGAGTCTTGAATTCTTGAAAAAGTCTTGAAATTTGCCCAGCAATTTTCCAGACCTGGTTAAAGTCTGGAAAATAGAGAAAAAGTCTGGAAAAAATAGGTAGAAAGTTTTTTTTAAAAGCTACAATAAGTGCTTTTTAATTACAAGTTAAATTTTTTTCCTGTTTGTCAATCGTATTCAATCTCGCCAGTACGTTTGCGGCGCATCGTTGATAAAGCTTTGTTCCTGCTGTACTTAAGGTNTGATGGCTACACATGCACAGCTACAGGTGTATAACAATTAATTCCAAAAAAGAACAGATGAAGGTACAGTAAATGAGTATCAAGAACAATCAGTCTGTAAATTAATAAATACTAAAATTATGGCAAACATGCTATATTACAAACGAAAAATAATTGTTATTGAAGGACAGGTAAACTTCTATGATAATGAAACTATTCAAATCTACTAGACTTATAGCTGTTCATACAGAGTCTTGAATTCTTGAAAAAGTCTTGAAATTTGCCCAGCAATTTTCCAGACCTGGTTAAAGTCTGGAAAATAGAGAAAAAGTCTGGAAAAAATAGGTAGAAAGTTTTTTTTAAAAGCTACAATAAGTGCTTTTTAATTACAAGTTAAATTTTTTTCCTGTTTGTCAATCGTATTCAATCTCGCCAGTACGTTTGCGGCGCATCGTTGATAAAGCTTTGTTCCTGCTGTACTTAAGGTCTCTATTGCTCACCTATTTGATAACCTTGAGTCTCGAAAAAGAAATTATTGTTTTGTTTTAGAAGCATGGGTTCACTTTGATTTGGGAAAGTCGACCCCTAACCCCTTTCACATATCCAGTTTAGAATGCTGCATCCCTTAATAAATAGACTGTCTTTCAAATATGAATAAATTGCTAAACAAGAAAGTTTTCTTGTCTTCTTCACTACCAGGGGTTACAGTGTTATACAAGTTCTAACCTTAAAAATGATTTTCTTCCAGTGATGGACTGCCCTGTGTTAGATATTTTGGAATCTTGATTAAGAGGAACAGCAAGGCAAACTGCAAGACAATGTAATACAATCAGAAAACAAGATCAGCAAGAAAAGGCAGCTCTAAGGACAAGGTAAACAACTCTACTAATTTTTTTTAACAGTTATATGTGTGATATACCATATTTATTTGATTTAATGCACCCTTGATAAAATGCCAGAGAGAAGCAGGGAGGTGTACAATGTAAGGGGGGTATGAATACTGCAAAACCACAGAAATACGTTTAAACACCGCCCAGAATAACATAAACAACTGAAAACCTTTTTAAAATTCCCCGAAAATTCCAAATGCCACAAACTGCTTGGTTTTGTAAAACCGCAATACTGCAACTTGAAAGAAAAATTCCCGCAAAACTACACTAAAATCGAGCAAAACGGCATCATTGCAAACCCTTAAGCCCCCCTCAAGAAGCAAAATTATTTAAAAAAAAATATTAGCACCTTACATTTTGTATTCTCACTTTATTCGTGAGTATAAAATTTCGTGAAAAATCAAGAACCATATTAAAAAGAATAATAGAATAATCTTTATATTTATGCTTTTGTCGATGTATGTGGTTGATATTACAATCTTCTCAGCGCATTTAATTGCAGGCAAGAAATCGTTTAAAACACCAATTCACAAAAAGGAATATGCTTTAACTCACAGGCTACTTTATTAATCGATCAAAAAGACTTTCCCAAATCAAAGTGAACCCATGCTTCTAATCTGAGGCTGCATTTTCTGGGAAACTTAAGGCAACATTAACACTTACTTCTCACCGTAGGGCAAGACGTTGGTTTAGGGGAGGGGTAGGTGGGCAGTTTCTCTAGCTCTCTAAAAGGGCACATTACAGCATCCATTAGCTGCGACAGGTTACCACACAAGGAAAACTATAGAAATGACAGATTGTGTCGATAAAACTCAATTTGCACTCTCATTTTCTTGCGAGTAACGGTTAAAATTTAAGTTTCAATTTCTACGTCTAATAAAAACGCCGATAAAGTCAAAATTAAAACACAACCTTTGTCAATGACACGCTGACGTCATTCTTATGCCAATTCAGTGCATCAGCAAGCTCCAAATGTACGACTAAGCAGGCTGATTAGAATGGTGCCCGGACTTCTCTCCTTCCCAAGAAAGACAGTTCTAAACTGGCCTGAATAGTGTGAAAATACGGCTTCAAATTCAATTACCTTAAAGGACAATGGTTTCATTTTCCCTGAGCGAACCTGGTTGTTTTAGCAAAATTCTTAAGTGTCAGTTAAGAGGGCTGTTTCACGGATGTCTAGTTCATCGGCTATAACTCAGTAAACATTGGCATTATTGGTGCATTTTAAATGAGTGGATTTTTTTCCAGAAAATTATTCTTTTGTAAGAGAGAAAATGAGAATGAAAGATTCTTGAAGGGAAACTTGTGAGCTTCATTTCGAAGTTCAAAACAAATATCAAATGTCAATCGAATACAGCCGTCTAGAGTATTATCTTTTGCTCTGTTATGTGTATATAATATCCATTAACTTGTATACGTTGTTGTTTTAACACTTATATGTTTTTCAGCGTTAAAATTAATAAAAAAGCTTTTGTATGATAAGCATTATTAAGCATTTTAGTGACTTTTTTGAGGAGACTGAACATTTTAGTGGAAAAATGGAGCGTTAAGGTAGAGCATTTTTAGTGGGCAAACAAAAGTATAGTGTACAAAAGCTTAGCTTAATTCCTTCAGGATAACAACACACCGGCAGAAAAGCCTTCCTGTTTGTTTTTTAAAATTTGTGTGAGAATATGCCGGCCCAGTCTCCTGCTATATAAATAGCCCACAGGATAACTACAATCTTCACTCTGACCTGTTTAGGCATACAAAATCGAACCCAAAAAGAAAACAGAGAAGATTATTAAAATAATAAAATCAAAAACGTTCTTAATTAATGGTGAGCTAGCGATACCGACATGTGCATCAATGATTGATTCACACTCTTAGAAAAAAATAGAAAAGACACGAAAAAAAGCCTCAAAATCTTGCTGAATTCATTTCAATACTTTCTGCTAGTTGCAACTCTCACCCTTACGTTGCAAGTCTTCATGAGCTTTGCTCAAACTGTCAGTGAGTAAAGTGGAAACACGCCCCATACTAACGCCAAACATTCTGGTATAGGAAAGGAGTTAAGGTTAAGGGAGGGGAGGGGAGGTACGGGATACGAGGCTACGCAATTGGATGACCGGCAAGCTGAGCTTCACTAACAATTTCCATGAACTTCCTCCTTCCTTCCTTCCTGGACTTTCGAGTCTCTGGACTTGTTCAAGTTCAACTCTGCTGCTGCGACAAAAGTTGGTCAGTGGTCTCCCTGTCTTTGTCAGAAAACCTTGTGCCTTACTAGATCCCATGGACGACGGGGGGGAACTCAGGAAAAGAGGAATGTAAAGGGCGTCTTACCTTGCTAATAATGAAATACGGTAAATCCTCTATTAAGTCCCCCGTGTGGCTTATTTATTTAAAGCACGTTTGAGGTGGGTGGGGCTTGAAAGAGGCGGAGGGCCAGGAGCCCGTTGGAGGGCAGATGGTATCAGTTATCGATCCATAAAGAACTAGAACCACAGTAGTGACACAAGACTAAAAGCCTTGGAGTAGAATTCAACAAACTCAAGATTTAGGACCTGGGGCTACATAACATGCATAGAGGGCAGAGCTGAAGAAAATCGATAGCGTTCTCTATTATGCTAGTCACACGCTTTTTTCCCTTTTTAACCCATTTATTGACCAAATACTTAGTTGAAAATAAGACTTGTCACATGTATTCAAGCTTCTATTCTATGCTCTTGATGTGTAACAGTAATTGCGATCCAGAAAACTATTCAGAATGAACTCAATTGCTTAATTTGAAACTACAACAACAAGAATTTATGGTTAGTGCTCCCTGATGAAACTTTCCTGATACCTTCTTCATAACTCTACAGGAGTACTTTGTGCAAGGACAAAGGCATTAAGGAATGACTGTAGCACACTATTGACCTCCGTAGCACTTGAGTTTCCCAAGCGTGTGGTAACCTTTTTCTAGTGAATGGCCTGTATCTCCAAATCTCAGCTGTGAAACTGGGAGCTGGGACTTTTCAGTAAGGAGACCGCTGTCCTCACGCCACACGCCATCATTCGCATCGCAGTTACATCCACGTCTGCTGTCTGCACATGTGTTGTCCACCCCGCATGCGCACTTGTAGGAATCCGCAGGAGTGGCCCCTCCCCAGTATGTCATTTTAACGTTGTCACGTGAGACCCACCATCCATATGAGTTACCCATGTATAAGAGGACAGAGTGTGTACATTCGTACTTGATAAACTGCTCACAATGTGTAGAGATGTCCAGAAGACCAAACAATTGAGCTTTGCTTGTCAGGCCGCTTCCTGTGTAATGAATATCACGTACATAGCTTCCTCGAGTTTCATAGCCATTGACAAGGGTCTTGCTTTCACTGTCATGACCAACAACTGTCACACCAACTCCGTTCTTGTCTGTCATGTCACAATAAACAGTGAAAGGTTCGTAGCTCCCTTCTCCATCGGGGTCGATAACATACGATCCACTTGTAGCTTGCGGACTGTGCAGTTTTATTTCACTGCAAGTTTTACCTAATTTGGTTAGATGAATGAAAAAAACCACAATTACAATCTCAAAAGTGAATTTTGTAAATACAGTGTACATTGGCATAGCTTAAGACAAGAAAAGGCACCTGATCATCTCAACACGCTTGTTTGCCATTTAAATTGTTTATCACGGACGGAAGAAAGAAAGATGAAGGAGATTTAAAGCAGACAGAGTATCCAATTATAGACTCCAGCGTACATTGGCGAGCTATTACTTACAGTGCTAATTGCGGTGCTCCGAGTTTTGACCGCCGCCTAAAGACGTTTGTAACATTTCGCATTTGCGTTTTCATTTCACTTTTAGTAGAAAGCCTAGTTAGTTATTAGCTAGTGTTTTTTTAGAGCCAATAAAAAACCCTTCTTTTTATGTCAAATCGCTTGTTTGCCTGCTTGTTGCTTGTTTCAGTTTCCACCAAACAGGAAGCTATATTCATAAACATCTTCTTAGCCTCAGTTCCTCGGTCTGTAATGTAAATTATGGATGCTTGGGGTGTATTCTAAATATGGGGTTCAAACTCGGCCAATAAGAGGTACATACCATACTAACAAAACATAAGGTAACAAAGAATAGCTGTTAAAAATAAAGTTGCTGACTCGATAAGAACAATGCTATCCCTTTTGTAATACAATATTGAAATTACAAAAGGGTTCTTATTTGTTACCTCGTCTTTCACAGAGAACTCCCGCAAAACCCAGATGACATTTGCAGCTGTAAGTCGGGGGTGGGGCGGGAAGGGTAGATAGAAAGAAATTGGGTGTGGCCTAGGGGCGAACTTCAGCCCTTCAATGGGAGGGGGAGAGATTTATGACAAAGAGCAAATACGAACTATTCTGGACAACAAATCCCCTCAGACACCCTGGCTTGTCTATTCCCTAGCAACACGTTCCTTCCAAGGCAACTTCCAAGGACATATTAATTTTCCAAATTTCCCAGCCAGCAAAAATTTTCCGTGAAGAACAGTTATTTTGAGGAACAGATCCATTGGGTGCCCCTGATATTAAAGAATTGTTTGAAATACACACTTGGCCTTGGCTCAGTCGTCGGCTCGGTGGTCGGCTCAGTCGTTAGCTCAGTCGTCGGCTCGGTGGTCGGCTCAGTCGTCGGCTTAGTCATCGGCTCAGTCGTCGGCTCAGTCGTCGGCTCGGTGGTCGGCTCGGTGGTCGGCTCAGGTTTCGGGCAGCAGCATACTTTTTTCTTCTTCCTTCTCCCACAGGAGAACCTATCAGAGCAAGCTTCAGTACCGGCCGGGCAGGGTTTTCCTTTTTTGATGCACTTGGCTCCTTCTTGTTTCCTACAGGAATTGCCTGTAAAAAATAATTAATGATTGGTGGATGATTTATGTCTTATTCTCCAAAGTGCTGTTGAAAACTTTGAAAACTTTATTTATACTCGAGGGTCTGGAACTTATTAGGCTCCTAGCTTAAATAGCTAATGAGTCGAGGTTAAAAACAAAACAAAGAAGAAATTAACTTGAATTAAACTATTTACATCATGATGCGATATTATTTACAGATAGTGATTCTAAAAGGTACAATATTAACAATAGTCTAACAGTTACATAAAGAGCAGTTACATGCGTCAAAGGTGATCTTTCTGATGCGTGTTACAAATGTTTTAAGGGTCGGAGAAGTTCTGAGTTCATCATTTAGAGAGTTCCAGATTTTTGGTCCGTAGTACCTAAAGGTGTTTAGTCCATACTTGGTGGTGATAACTCTAGGCTGTTGGAAGGGAGAGGAGCGAAGTGGATTGGGAACAATTCAACCCTAACCTAACCCTTAGCCCAAATGTTGGCCTCAAATAAATCAGCCTTCTGCCGTATTGCCAGCCTTGCATTCAGTAATATATAAATTTAGCCAAGGCTTAAAGCGAAGCTCTCGTTAATATTTATAGTTTGTTCAAACAAAATATAAAATCGTGTAATGCTAAGGCCTGAATGCAACGCCGGAAAAAGCAAAAAGCAACTTTGCACGTGCAGCACAATTTTTTTGTAGATTTCTTTGCCCTTGTTTTTCACGACTCAAGCTTCTTAGTTACACTTTTAATGGAGAAAATGTCGACCGTGTTCTCGTTCACCTTTTTTCACTGCCGCTAATTTTCACATTGCATTTGATTGGTGGCCAAGAGCATTTCTTATTTTGTCACCGCCGCCACAAAATTTTCATGTTGTTCTTCCAACAAAAAAATGTCTCATTTTTTTTTATCTCTGGCTCTCGATCTCTGTCGCCCTTTTTGTCGTTGAGCTTCGCTGGTCTGCCGCCGACAGGTACTTTCTCTTTTTCTCTGTCTTTCTCTTGCTCTATATTCCAAATTTGTGCACATGACAATTAATCTAAGCTTAATACTTTAGACAACACGGATACAGAAACAATTTCCGCTTTCCGTTTTCGTCTTTATTGACTCTTTCGTTGTCTCTGCTTTACAAGAAGCCAGTGGCTATGCAATTTCCCTTGTAACCATGCACAGCAGCATCATAATTTTCGCGTGTTTCATTCACTTTCAAAGTTTGTCAGTTCCCTCCTTGCGGCTGTTTAGAACCTTCCTTTAACCCTGACTGTTGAACAGAGCCATGTTTTTAACCTTCGCGTTGCCGAAGAGGACCCGGCTTTTCCTGTTGCAGGATTTACCAGCAGAAGCTTGCAGATCGGGACAATTCCATTTATCATGCTCTGCTGAGGAATTCCTGAAACGTTTTCATGTTGTCTACAATGTCATCGAATTCAATTTTTTTTAAGAAATCGTAGCTCTGTGGAGATTTAAGAACCTTGATAAAAAAAAGCTCCATTGTTTGTGCATATACTACATCACCTGGCTGGTGAAAACGCAAAAGTCTACGACTAAGTGCAGTTTTGTAAAGAAAGTCGTTTTGAGGCTTACCATATGATATAGGATCGAAATGGACCAATCATAAATTTGGATGCTCTGGCGAGGTCCGCCAGTCTATAATTCTTATTCCATCAAAGATTCCTTTTAAGAGGGGAGGTACGGGATACGAGGCTACGCAATTGGATGACCGGCAAGCTGAGCTTCACTAACAATTTCCATGAACTTCCTCCTTCCTTCCTTCCTGGACTTTCGAGTCTCTGGACTTGTTCAAGTTCAACTCTGCTGCTGCGACAAAAGTTGGTCAGTGGTCTCCCTGTCTTTGTCAGAAAACCTTGTGCCTTACTAGATCCCATGGACGACGGGGGGGAACTCAGGAAAAGAGGAATGTAAAGGGCGTCTTACCTTGCTAATAATGAAATACGGTAAATCCTCTATTAAGTCCCCCGTGTGGCTTATTTATTTAAAGCACGTTTGAGGTGGGTGGGGCTTGAAAGAGGCGGAGGGCCAGGAGCCCGTTGGAGGGCAGATGGTATCAGTTATCGATCCATAAAGAACTAGAACCACAGTAGTGACACAAGACTAAAAGCCTTGGAGTAGAATTCAACAAACTCAAGATTTAGGACCTGGGGCTACATAACATGCATAGAGGGCAGAGCTGAAGAAAATCGATAGCGTTCTCTATTATGCTAGTCACACGCTTTTTTCCCTTTTTAACCCATTTATTGACCAAATACTTAGTTGAAAATAAGACTTGTCACATGTATTCAAGCTTCTATTCTATGCTCTTGATGTGTAACAGTAATTGCGATCCAGAAAACTATTCAGAATGAACTCAATTGCTTAATTTGAAACTACAACAACAAGAATTTATGGTTAGTGCTCCCTGATGAAACTTTCCTGATACCTTCTTCATAACTCTACAGGAGTACTTTGTGCAAGGACAAAGGCATTAAGGAATGACTGTAGCACACTATTGACCTCCGTAGCACTTGAGTTTCCCAAGCGTGTGGTAACCTTTTTCTAGTGAATGGCCTGTATCTCCAAATCTCAGCTGTGAAACTGGGAGCTGGGACTTTTCAGTAAGGAGACCGCTGTCCTCACGCCACACGCCATCATTCGCATCGCAGTTACATCCACGTCTGCTGTCTGCACATGTGTTGTCCACCCCGCATGCGCACTTGTAGGAATCCGCAGGAGTGGCCCCTCCCCAGTATGTCATTTTAACGTTGTCACGTGAGACCCACCATCCATATGAGTTACCCATGTATAAGAGGACAGAGTGTGTACATTCGTACTTGATAAACTGCTCACAATGTGTAGAGATGTCCAGAAGACCAAACAATTGAGCTTTGCTTGTCAGGCCGCTTCCTGTGTAATGAATATCACGTACATAGCTTCCTCGAGTTTCATAGCCATTGACAAGGGTCTTGCTTTCACTGTCATGACCAACAACTGTCACACCAACTCCGTTCTTGTCTGTCATGTCACAATAAACAGTGAAAGGTTCGTAGCTCCCTTCTCCATCGGGGTCGATAACATACGATCCACTTGTAGCTTGCGGACTGTGCAGTTTTATTTCACTGCAAGTTTTACCTAATTTGGTTAGATCAATGAAAAAAACCACAATTACAATCTCAAAAGTGAATTTTGTAAATACAGTGTACATTGGCATAGCTTAAGACAAGAAAAGGCACCTGATCATCTCAACACGCTTGTTTGCCTTAAATTGTTTATCACGGACGGAAGAAAGAAAGATGAAGGAGATTTAAAGCAGACAGAGTATCCAATTATAGACTCCAGCGTACATTGGCGAGCTATTACTTACAGTGCTAATTGCGGTGCTCCGAGTTTTGACCGCCGCCTAAAGACGTTTGTAACATTTCGCATTTGCGTTTTCATTTCACTTTTAGTAGAAAGCCTAGTTAGTTATTAGCTAGTGTTTTTTTAGAGCCAATAAAAAACCCTTCTTTTTATGTCAAATCGCTTGTTTGCCTGCTTGTTGCTTGTTTCAGTTTCCACCAAACAGGAAGCTATATTCATAAACATCTTCTTAGCCTCAGTTCCTCGGTCTGTAATGTAAATTATGGATGCTTGGGGTGTATTCTAAATATGGGGTTCAAACTCGGCCAATAAGAGGTACATACCATACTAACAAAACATAAGGTAACAAAGAATAGCTGT